CTATTTGGATGTGACCGATTAATTAATATATTAGCATATTGATAATTTAGCAGGTGTTGTGTTTGTTTTTGCAGTATAGGAATAAAATAGTAAAACAGAGTATTTTTTGTATATGAACGCATTTTCTTTGGCTCCTCAATCCTGACGTTCTAGTTATGTATATTTGACTGTAGCCACCTGAGATCTCAACGGAATCTAAAGCCAGAGAGACTAACATTTAGCAGAAACGTCTGCTAAATATATCTGCACAGTTCAGCAATGTACATATTTTGGATTCTGAGAAAACAATACTTAACTATTTTCTTGTAAATTCAATGTGTAGGGTGACCACATTTTGGGGGCACTTACAAACTAATATTTCACTTACGTCACCAAAATAATACTTATTAAGTAAGAAAACAATCATCAGCGGTGAAGTCTTCTCGTTTGTGCATGAATATGTTCATGTACGAAATATATAATTTAATTTCTGATTTTGTAATTAGATTTCGATGTTACAATATAAGGTGCATTGTAATGGTGCTACCCTTTATTTTCCTGCCTTCTGAACTTCTAAAATCCAGTGTGGTTTAAAACCAATAAAAAGCTTCTAATATCAAAGAGTTAGGTGAACACTATGACAGTTTTTAAGTTTTCTAGAGGTAATAATATCTATATTACAGTGATGGACTAAAAGAAGTTCCGCTACAATATCAAACTGCACTTAATTATTTATCACTTTATGATGAAACAAACATGATGATTAACTTTATAATATAAGAAATCTAAGTTAATTAGTTAATTATATATTTCGTACATGAACATATTCATGCACAAACGAGAAGACTTCACCGCTGATGATTGTTTTCTTACTTAATAAGTATTATTTTGGTAACGTAAGTGAAATATTAGTTTGTAAGTGCCCCCAAAATGTGGTCACCCTACACATTGAATTTACAAGAAAATAGTTAAGTATTGTTTTCTCAGAATCCAAAATAAGTACATTGCTGAACTGTGCAGATATATTTAGCAGACGTTTCTGCTAAATGTTAGTCTCTCTGGCTTTAGATTCCGTTGAGATCTCAGGTGGCTACAGTCAAATATACATAACTAGAACGTCAGGATTGAGGAGCCAAAGAAAATGCGTTCATATACAAAAAATACTGTTTTACTATTTTATTCCTATACTGCAAAAACAAACACAACACCTGCTAAATTATCAATATGCTAATATATTAATTAATCGGTCACATCCAAATAGAAATTCACCTCTTGTGTTTAGATTGAGGAGCCATATTAAAAGTATTGTATTTTCTTCAATTATAGCACTACAGAAGCCAAATTGTTATATGGTAATGTGCAAAATTACTACTAAATGATACAAAATTTTCATAAATATTCATCTATTACTTAACGAGTTCTAGGTGGCTCCTCAATTCAAACGTTTAGATTGAGGAGCCATGTTTGCATTAAAATAACTAGTGATATATTTTGCTGCTAAATCTAGAATTCGTGCTGCAAAATAAGCTAAACTGCTGCTAAATAATGGCGAGATCAGATTTTAAAAATGTGATGTGGCTCCTCAATCCTTACGGACATACGAAAACTTATTATCATGATAACTTTACAAAAGAGATGCTTTATCCTAGTCAAATCAAATACTTTGACAATTTCAAGTATTGTTTAAATGAAACTACATTTGGAGGCAAAGAAATGGAACCACTAGCGTTTTTTCGTTTCCATTTCTCGATAAATATTTATTCTCAATAGATGTTTTCCTTCACCGTTTGTCAGTGGTGTCTAGATAATCTTAGAAAGTACATATAACTCGGAAGTCGTCACATTGGTACTTGCCGTTGGTAGGTTTCGAGCCCGCACTCTCATGCATGAGAAGCGGGCGTCTTATACCTCCGGGCCGCCACGACATAAAATGAAAACATTTTGTTGTAAAAGGAATATAATTTGTAAAGTTACAGAGGGTTCGACAAAATGTAAAATAAAAAATGCTAGTGGCTGTTTCTTAGTACCTCCGTGTATTTCCGATTATATACGTTCGTTCATCATAAACGTTGTCGTTCATCGTAAATGAGCGACAGATTTTAGCAGGTCAAACTACTTTATTAAAAACAAGCTTTTTATCATATCTTCTGGAGAAATGGATACATCTAACGAGCCCAAACTCTATGTTTACTAGTAGCTCAAGATTCCATCACCCCCCTTCCAATTCCACCATTAAACCAGCTCGACGGCACCATAATATTGTATTGTCGTCTAATCTACATACAACTGCCGAGTTTCACGACGATACAACAATTACAAGTGTGTGTAATTCAGATTCTTAGATTGTGTTACATAGTCCGGTACAGGTCGACCTAGTACATGCGTGTTAAAGATTAAATTAGTTGGACCTGCTGCCATGTTCCTTATTGTATAGAGACCATAATTGAATTTATATAAAACGAAAATCAATATATGACATTTTAAATTCAATTTTTTAATATGCAAACTACTTTGAAAGCATTAGCTGTTTACTATAAACAATGTATCATAATGCTTATAATTTCCTGAAGGGGGTTGGGTAGGCAGAGATGCACGTATTAGCAACACGTAGTTGATAATGTAGGCTACTGTATTCTTGCTTGCCATATGACGCTAGTGAGTAGATTGCCGTCCAATAAGCAGCTGTAGCCAAATGCCATTTAGCGCTTGTCTACATGTAGAATAGAAAACCAAATTATATGGAATTGATGTAAATTTTGACACTTATCAGTGTCATCCCCATACATTTTGATTTCTACTCTCTCTGTAGACGAGCGCTAAAGTGGCGTTTGGCTAAAGGCCAAGGAATAAGGTAGATGATTAATTTTTATTTCAATGGCATGATGGTAAGTAATCTGTGTCGCCCATGGACACCTGGAACACCAGAGGCGGTACAAATGCGGCCTTTTGGGGATTGGGAATTTGAAGATTCGTAGGGAGGAAGGGGGAAGGGGTAATTAGGCCTCCGACAACCTCACTAACACGACGGAACAACGCAAGCGTTGCTTCACGTCGGTTTTCTGCTCGTTGGTGGTATCACTCCGGTCGAGTCGGCCCAGCCGGCTCCTAGACTTAGATACATTTGCGCCATCTAGCGACCAAAAGTACGGTAGCCCCCATTATAATTATACATCCATTTCTATTACAGGTCCACGTGTACAATATAACACCCACTATTCATCAGTAATGTTATGACTCCCACGTCATAGGGGCACCTAAATCTTCGCAAACCGAAGATAATGCTCTGGAATCGAGCCGGAGACCAGCTCATCAGTACTGAGAGCTCAATAATACTTTTGCTCAACTCAGTAATCGAACTGCTTAATAATTTTACTTGAATAAAAAGGTTAGCTTAACTAATAGTCTACTAAACCTAACTGTATTGTTGTCATTAACTAGCTGTGTCTAACTGTTAAAGAACTATTTCAATTTTGCGTCCACCGCTACTCTTCCCGCGGGTGTCGTATACCCGACTAAGGCACGACGAAGTAGACAGAGACCGTGCAGCAGCGCTCTCTGATAAACCTGAACCTTTTATACTGCGACCTCCAACCCGCCTGCCTGCGGAGATTATGACAAACCCTCTTATGTAGAGGAGACTCATAGTGCAGCAGTGGACTGTCACTGATTGTCAGGCTACATGACGAGATTAGCCAGAATATCCACGCTCGATAGTCTCGTTAGAGATCGCGGTATAAAAGGTTCAGGTTTATCAGATAGCGGTCTCTGTCTAATGTGTCCCTTGTCCGGGTATACGACACCCGCGTGAAGAGTAGCGGTGGTGACAAACGTTCTACTCTGCCGTCACCACGGCGTGTGTCAGTTACAATAAATGACTGATTTTTTTGATCCCCGCTACTATAAAACTTGGACATGTACACTGCAAAAATTACGCTGAAGGAATATAACTCTTATAGATATGTTGTTATGACAAATGACAGTAGACGTTCTATCCCATAATCTATCTATATATCTTTATATATATAATTCTTCTGTACGTGTGTATGTCATTGAACTCCTCCTAAACGGCTTGACCGATTTAAATGAATTTTTCTGTACGCGTTTGAGTGGCGCCCTGGATGGTTTAGATTCACAAATCAGCCCGGCAGATGGCGCTGCAGTCGGTGTCTAGGTTGTTTATCTATACCTATTATTATTTTTATATCATATGCAGGACAACGTCTGTCGGGTCCGCTAGTATATATATAAAAATGAATCCGTTTTTCTCTTGGTCACGGCATCACGCGTGATTCATGAATGGCTGGACCGATTTCACTAATTCTTATTTTGTTGTATTTGTTATTATTAGGAGAACGTTCTTAAGACAGACAAAATCCTGAAAATCCTACGGGATTGCGCGAACGAAGTCGCGGGCAAAGTTAGTTTTTTATATATATTTTAAAAGAGACGGACCTCTGAGTTTTTTCGGCATTTCTTCTCAGAGTTGTCAGTTAGGAAATGTCGACCTCATCGTTCGTTTGATAAAATTGACGTGTAAAGTTGCCTTGTAGCCTATTTGCAGGAATACATTCACTTGTTTCACTTGATGACGCGCATATACGACCGACGAGCAAATCAATATGTCGACACGAAACCTACATAGAACATGTGAAGTTAACAGTCTATAAGTGGCCACAGTTGACCAAAGGCCTCTTCTCACACGGAGAAGGTTTGAGCATTAATCACCACGCTTGCTCAGTGCGATTATCAGGAAAGAAACTGAACGGTACTTTGATCAGTTTACAAAAACTCCACTTTTATTTTTAACCCGTTGATAATCATCCCCTAAATTTGTTGATACAAAGTAGTCTCTAAACATTAGAAATAATGTCTATAATGTAGTTAGTGGAGAGCGGTCACCGGAGACCGCTCGGGGATATATGGGTGCAGTTTTATTCAGCTTGCCCCGTTTGTTTGTTTGAGTCTCTAGTAATTGTAATGTCCCCCCCCCCCTTCCTGACGACAGATCGATCTGATATTTGGTACACACTCTTAATCTTGATGACCGTACAATATAATCTAATTGTTTCCACAACTACCTCCATTATGGATATCAAACGCAACGGCTTGATTCGTAGAATAGATCTATAAATACCGTTTCTCGTAAATATACTTGTTATGTATTACTTTATATACCTATAAAGGTTATATTCCCAAAGCAATTTAATGCAGATAATATGTCCTTTCTCACTTGCAGTTAGACAAACCATTTGAATCGTTACTACACGAAATTATTCGAAACTAGCTCCTGCCCGCGTTCCCGTTCGACCCCGTACGAAACGGCTGAAGGGATCGCGACGATATTTGGAACAGAGATAGATTAAGATCTGGAATACCGCATAGACTACTTTTTATCCCACGGGAACTTGGACATATCCACTGACAGAAGGTAGTACGATATATAAAATGGACTTTTACGAGCCGACGGATCACCTGATGATATATTTTCGTGTAGTAACGACATATTATGATCTAGTCTGTGTGTGTGTAGATTACGTCCTAGAATCCTTCCTGGTAGGCTTTGGAGTCGAGTCTCGCCTGAAGTAACTCTAGCTGTCGCCGCGCCTCGCATTGTGGGAAGTTGTTGAGTTCGTAGTACTGTGGAGCTATTTTTAGGAGCCATTCCGCTGTAAAAGATAAAGAAAATTGTAGCACAAGGAAGCTCGATGCGTGTGGGTGGGATGTCTTGTGGTACGATGATGGAAAGGACTACTCAGTGAAATGTATTTATACTCACGTTTAATGTCCGTGACGGTCCGTATGTAGTTCTTGGTGGTGAGCACGAACTCGTTGTATATGACCCAGTCGGGCTTGTGGTCGAGGCACGTGCTGGGGTGCAGCTGCACGACCTGGTTGTCCTTCACCGTCAGGTAGTGGCCCGTGCGCTCGAGGTGGGCGACCTGCGGTAATGGACGAGAACATTAGCCTTTTTAATAATGATCGGGGACACTAAATTAAGTTAAGATCGCGGGTCAATCACATGAAATACTGAGAAACCCTCTACAAAAAATTTTTGAAGGGACTACTACTAATTGGCAGGTAGCTGATGTACTAAGAAGTAACATAGGCTTAACTTTTATTTTGGAAAATTGAAACAAAAAAAGTTATGTCCTAAAATTAATATTCTACGCGGAAAAAGTCGCGAGGAACAGCTAGTATAAAATAAATAAACAAGTATTGTACGTTACCTGCATGAAGAATCCATTAACTAGAGCTTTCCTTATATTGATATAGTAGTCCTTGCTTGTGAACTCCGTACTCGTCCTCTTCAAGTTAAACCTGAAACATACAACATATTCTTCTTTTAAAACGTCCCAAACTAGGATCGTCTCCGGTGTCGTGGGTACGTTTATACACATATTACCCAACCTCCCCAGTCCTGAATTTGAGGATTCCAACAATCCTCAAAAGATTTGGGGATTAGGGAGACTGGGGAACCCTTCTCCCCAGGGTCAGGGTAATTGGGTTTCCGGTAACCTCATTCACACGACGAAGCATTCTGCTCGTTGGTGGTATCACTCCGGTCGAACCGGCCCAACAGAGCCGAAGCATGGCTCTCCCACACTTGAAAATATCCGAATAGATAGTCCAGTAGACTATGTAAATATATAAAATAGACTAGCAAACCCGGAGAACTCTGTTTCGCCACCAGATGGCTTCGTTTTATGTAACATTTCGATTAGTTATTAAAAGATGAAGAAAAATTTTTTTGTTTTATATTTTATAAACCTCACGGAGCCCGATACCTTTCTAACGAATGCAAATCCGTGGATATCGGTTCGTGCGTTCTGGAGTTATAGCGTCAGGAAGGAAACCCGACTTATTTTTGTACAGTAGATTATGTATAGTCAGAATTTTAAGTAGATTCCAGATTTGACAATATATACTGTCATTTTGTGAAATAATGATACCACATATAATAGTGTAGTGATTGACACAAAAATCGATAAACAATCAGTGTGTGTGTTTTATAATAAATGTTACAGAAAGTGACAGCGATAGCGATACCGATGACGGCGACAATTTATAAAATAAATTATTACCATAATACATTTCATGATTACATTTCTTTATTTATTTCACACACAATTGTAAAAGAAAAGTCTCAGATCGTTAATTAATTGTCAAAACTAAATTATCGGTTTAGAAATATTTAATTTCCTGATATACTTAGTTTACTAGAGTAAAATTATAAACGAGAAGAATCGATCCAGAAATATTCCATTTCCATATCGAATAATTTCGCAACGTCACTATTTAGTACTTGTCATAACGTTGCAACACTGAAATTGTCAAATCTGGAATCGAATTAAAATTCCGAGTATAGACACCAACCTATCCATGATCCTGCTGAGTTGCTGACGGACATTGTCTCCGGACTTCAGTGAGCGGTAGTTGATGAAGTTGTCATAGCACCAGTGTGGGTCTTCCATATCTGGAAACATAAACAAATACATAAGACAACCAGATTTTGAAGCGTGTCTTGTCTAGTAACTAAAATATGGCAAAAATATATGTAAATGTGGACTCGAATGAAACAACCAATCAGAGCGCTTAAATTAAACTTGTACTAAAACCTCAGTACGCACAAGGAAGCTTGATGCGAACAGCTTCGTGCGTGTCTACTAGATTATTATATATAAGTAAATGGAGATACTGACTCTGTTTAAATGCATGGTATACGTTGAGCAGCGTGAGATGGTCTCCGTCGATGTGTGCGAACCTCATCTTGGCCTCGTCCGCCGCCTTGCGGGCCTCGTTCGGACGCACGAAGCATTGTTGAACTGGAATCATGGTTATTTATTTTAATTTTAATATAACATAACATCACGTCTTATATCCCCGAAGAGGTAGACAGAGGTGCACATTACGGCCTCTGTACAATGTAACACCCAGTTTTCATTATTTATGTTATGAGTCCCATGTAATAGGGGGTGAACCTGACTATTTCCGGACTCCGTGCTACTAGTGAGATTTTTTTTAAAAAACCCAGCAATACTTTGCCTAACTCGGGAACCACATTCTGTCTGTCCCTATGTATGCTTAGATCTTTAAAACCAAGCAACGGATTTTGATGCGGTTTTTTTAATAGATAAAGTGATTCTTAAGGAAGGTTTATTTATATGTATAACACAAGCATATTGCACCCGTGCGACGCCGAGGCGGGTCGCTTGTATGAAACATTTAAAGGACATTATTTAAATATGTATAGTTTACAATTAAAATAAAAAGATTTATACATAAACGTAAGCCAAGGGTATCACAGAAAGTGTTGTAAACTAGTAATAGAAGTTTTAGAATTTTATCTTGTTTCGAGGTTTTCTCAACCATATTGAAGTCATACGGGGTCCATAAAGCCAAGGAGAGTACACGCTAGGAGACAATGTACGTTGGGTGAAGTAGCGCGCTTTTGCTGGACTTTGGTCGACATGTCTGACAACATCAACGTCGCTGTGGACAAGGAGCGCGTTGTCGCCTTATAATATCTGTCCGGAAACGTCTCATACATCTCGATGACGTCGATGGAGGCGGCACTGGCGATGGCATCAGAGGGGGAACAGCGCTGCGCGGGGAGCAACATGTACGAGGACGAGGATCGCGGCCCGGGTCTTTCCCACTCGATCAACTGCGAGCACTGTACGCGTCACGCACCGTACATTTGTTAGCACACCTACCTTCAGTCGAATAAACCAGTACCTAGACCTTTAATCAGCATCATCATTTATACAGTCCAAAAACTCTCCCCAACAATATCCTTGTCTTTAATCATTGGTCCGACGTCGCGCAATCAACTATTCTACCAAATAATAGTCCATTTAGTATTTTACCTGACAACATAGCAGTGATAGATAAGATCTCATTGGAGCAGTTATGGTTGCAGCTGGCGATCAACATCTTGGCGAGCTGAGGATCCAGGGGGAACTCCGCCATCACCGCGCCCAGGTCTGTTAGGTTGCCATCGTCGTCTGGAAGGAGAAGACGTGAGAATTAATGTAAAATAAATGTTGCAAGGACCTGGAAATGGATAAAATAGACCATAGGGCATAATACTAAGCATCGTGCAATTGCTAAGAATATCCAAAATCCCGAAAGGTCTAGTAATACAAAGCTCGTCACAGGAGTCGAATTCGAACCTAAAAAAAGAAAAGGCAATCTGTTCTTTTTTTGAGGGGGGAAAATCATCCAATGCCTTCTCCCTTGCGATGATTCGGTCTACGATGGACTGTCAGACTCTTACTGACTAAAAGCCACCCCGTTCCTACTCCTGCACTTCGAGCCGGACCCCGGCAACCCGTTAAGTCCTCCGCGGCTCCGTAACGGCACCAGCCCTATTGGGCACCATCTGTGGTGGTCTGATGGGTTCTCGAGGCGCGCCCGGAACGCTACGCGCCGTACGCTCGGGGAAACCCATAGCTTGGCAGTCGCATTTGCTAATATTTTACCAACGGCGGAAATTGACGTCAAGTGCGATTGAATAGACTGGGGTCTTCCCCGGTTCTTCGCCAGATACGACGAGTAACGAGAGCAAATATTATGTTAATCCCCGATATGATAAAAGATAGAAATGTACTCATATTACAACTACTTTGTTCGTTATCTAGACGATGACTATACACACAGCGGAATGAATTAATGAGACATACAATAACTGCAGTAATTTACTCTCAAAGGTATGACTAAAGAAATTGTAAAATTCACAAATACTTTACAAAATCAGAACATTGTAATTGCAGGAATCGGAAAGTCGAATACTTGTAACGTAACATAATATCTCATCACGCCTTTATCCCCGAAGGGGTAGGCAGAGGTGCACATTATACCACTGTACAATGTAACACCCACTCTTCACTATTTATGTTATAAGTCCCATGTAATAGGGGGTGAGCCTATTGCCATATACCGGGCATAATTCCAGACTCCGTGCTACTGAGATTTGTTTTAAAACCCAGTAATACTTTGCCCGACCCGGGAATCGAACCCGTGACACCTTGCCCGGCAGTCGCACTTGCGACCACTCGGCCAACGAGGCAATCAATTAGTATTGCATTAGTCATTTTTGTTCTGTAGACGTCCGAGTACTTTCAGCTCAAAATGGTGCTCATTGTAGTGAGTTGACCAGATTAAATTAATGTATTGTGACAGTATATAGTGAAAAATACTCTTATATTAACTTCAGTGAGACATACTTAATTAACTTCGGCCTATTCACGTTGCCGCGACCGCGCACGCTGCTCATGAGGAAGAACCCCTCTGTGGTTCGAAACTAGTAGAGCTTTTCTCAGCACTTCATTTTTTTATTATTGTTATTTAGTAAGTAGTTCACCGCTGATCTCGTGACCATAAAGTCTTTAGTATTATCTCTTTTTTTTATGGATAAATGTTAAGATTAATTAAGTTTGTGTATGCATATGTATTAGTAATTAGGTACCTACATAGATTTAGTTTTTACCCGACTGCCAAAGAAGGAGGGTAATGTTTTTCGAGTGTATGTAAGTATGTATGTATGTCTTTTCCTTTGTGACCACCTGTAGCCTAAACGGCTTGATGGATTTTGATGTATGAGGTATCGTTAGATTTGTCTTGATTACGGGAGTGTCATAGGATACATTTTATCCTAAAAGTCCCACGGGATAAAGACATAATAATATTTTTTCTAAATTTCCCTTTAAAAAAATATGTATGCGGTATCATTAGATTCATTTCAATCACGGGAGTAATTAATATAGGATACGTTTTTTCTCAAAATTCCCACGGGAACATGTTAATTCTGCGTCAACGCAAAGCAACTCATGCGTTAGCAAGCAAAAAGATAGGGCGTGGCCTGGCATGCGGCGCGCGGCGCGGTGCGGAGGGGGATATGCTCGAGTATACAGCCCGATTGCGGGCACACGCATGAGGGCACACGTCGTTGACGGTCGTCTCTAAATAGCGATTTTATTCGATATATCCCTATTTGTATATATCGAAATAAAAACAGCTAAAAAGTTATAAATAAAAAAATTATTATTAAAAAAACAAAATACCCGACTGCACACTAAAAAAAGAGTAAAACAAGCCCCACAATAATATTGATCAATCAAATGCTAAAAACTAATTATGTAATACCGTTTAAACAATACCTATATTAAAATACACTACAATATGTGTTCGTAATCGATAGTTAAATAAACAGAAACTTATTTTGAATACAAATTTACTGAATATAATTTATAAATGTTGATGGAATGCATCGCAGGCGGGGACCAACAGAGGCTTATTTATAGTCATTTCGGTTGTGCACCATTTAGCAGAATTTTCGTTGGTGGCGGTCAAGGTGGTCCCCGCCTGCGATGCTTTCCATCAACATTTATAAATTATATTCAGTAAATTTGTATTCAAAATAAGTTTCTGTTTATTTAACTATCGATTACGAACACATATTGTAGTGTATTTTAATATAGGTATTGTTTAAACGGTATTACATAATTAGTTTTTAGCATTTGATTGATCAATATTATTGTGGGGCTTGTTTTACTCTTTTTTTAGTGTGCAGTCGGGTATTTTGTTTTTTTAATAATAATTTTTTAGACCTAAGCTATCGCAATGGAGAAAACTGTAATGATAGTTTTAGGTAAGGTTTTAAATAAATAAATAAATAAAAAATAAAAAAAAAGTATATTTACGTGAGTAACCCGCGAATTTTAGTTAATTTAGTATGTCTCACGATAGTTATTATAAAAAATTAATTAACAATAGAAATATGCAATAAATATTTAAAAAAAATATGTATTAAATTATAATGTTTTCGGCTTACTCACGTAATAATTTGACAAGGAACTCAACTAGTTTCAAGGCATGCTAGAGGCTCATATTCATGAGCAGCATTTCGCGACCCGCGACGTGGCGACTGTCGCGCTGCTACTGACGCGTGCTACTGACGCGTCTAACTAGTCGAGTTCCTCGTCAAATTACTACGTGAGTAAGCCGAAAACATAATAATTTATTTAGTATGTCGCACGAAAATACAAAAATATGTTTTAGTAAAACTACATACCCAGTGCAGCCAAGTAGTTTAGTAGCTCGAGTGCTCTCATCAGCGTCTCGGGCGCGGGGGGGTCCATAAAATCGAAATGCACCAAGTCGTCTATCCCGAGTTTTTTCAACTGCAAAACTACAGATCCTAAGTTTGATCTGCAACGGCAATTGGGCGTGATGTTAGAGAGCTGTGACTTCTCGGGGTCTTGAGTGGGGTCATTTCATCTCTATAAACATATTACTGTTAAAGGACCGCGATTTTTAAACGTATGTTGAAGAATTCAAGTGTTTAAAGTTTTTGGGGGTCTGTAGACATATTTTTGGGGTCAAATTGCAAATTGTTAAGGATTAGACACCGTACTCTGCCATTTAATGGCTACTTAACCCAGTCTGTAGCAATTACTTTCAGAACAAAATCGTTACTAAGGAATTGTTTAAGTAATTATTCAATTTCTTTGAGTACAGCAGCAAATTTCAAATTTTAGAACAAGAATTAAACAAATAATTACCAACTGGGGGGTCATTAGTCACGAAAATTAAAATAGAATGACCCCCAGAGAAGAAAAATTAATAAAAGGAAATTTTATACCACCAATCACCTTAAAATTTCCGGATAAGTATTGTCTTGCATTTCATTTTTGTACGCTTTCTCTGTGTACAGTCTGAAGCATTTACCCGGTCGCGTCCTACCGGCGCGGCCCGCCCTCTGTTGGGCGGACGCCTTACTAATTGGCGACACAAGGAGAGACTCGACACGAATACGAGGGTTATAGACCTTTTGCTTAGCAAAACCAGGGTCTATCACGAACACCACGCCATCTATAGTCAGCGACGTCTCGGCAATGTTAGTAGACACTACAACTTTCCGTCCGATAGCTCCGTTTGCGCGATTAGGCGGCGCTGGCTCGAAAATCCTCTGTTGTAAGTTGGGAGGTAGCGTAGAATATAAGGGTATACACTTCAACTCCCCAGCATCAGGACCTAAATTATCAATTTCCCTCTTGATTCTCTTACAGGCATCCTCAATCTCCTCCTGTCCAGTCAAAAACAGCAAAATGTCTCCGGCAATTTCTTCACAAATGTGTATTTGGATGACAGTGCGGATAGCTGCTTCTAGGTAATCTCTTTCAGGCTGTGGTGTGTAGAATATCTCTACAGGATGAGTTCTACCAGGGACATTCATTAACGGAGCATTGTCGAAGTACTGTTGGAACTTGCCAGCGTCTAATGTAGCGGACATGATGACTAGTTTAAGGTCGGCCCTCTGTTTTATAACCTCTTTTAGGACTCCCATGAGGATATCTGTAGCCAAAGTCCTCTCGTGAGCCTCGTCAAGAAGTATAACTCTGTACTGTTCCAGCATGGGATCCGACATCGCTTCTCTGAGCAACATACCGTCCGTCATGTACTTTAGTATGGTTTGTGGTCCGGAACAGTCCTCAAAACGGATGCTGTAACCGACTTGCTGGCCCAGTGCTACGTCCATTTCTTCAGCTACTCTTTGAGCTACTGACATGGCGGCCACTCTTCTCGGTTGTGTACAGGCTACGCCTTTGGATTTGCCTGCTGTAACGGCAGCGAATTCGACCGACCATTGCGGTATTTGTGTGGTTTTGCCCGAGCCAGTCTCACCGACTAGGACAACACATTGATGGGTGTTTAGGAGTCTCATGAAATCGTTTTTGTATTCCCATACTGGGAGACCGAGACGTCGGCGGAGGAGCTCGTGGTACCGCTGGGAGTGGGGTAAACCTGGAACAAAGGAATGACTTATTTATCTTATACTATTATATAAAGCGGAAGAGTTTGTTTGTGTGTTTGAACGCAACTAATCTCAGGAACAATCTCAGGGTCCGATTAGAAAAAATATTTTTATGTTGGATAGTCCATTTCTCGAGGAAGGCTAAACGCTATTAACCATCACGCACGATCAAAAGGCATTAAGCAGAGCGGGTGAGGCCGCGCGGAAGTAGCTAGTTCTCTTTATAATAGTAAAAACTTGAAATCTCAATTACTCTACTCTACTATCTAGATACTCTGAATAATAGCCTTATAATGCAACAAAATCTTAACATCAATCAAATCCACTGACTTAGGGGCCGTTCAAGTATTACGTAAGCACCACGGGAGGATAGGGGGTGGGGGATCTCTGTTTTGCTTATTTTAGATGATATGGGGGGTAGCAGAGTCTAGATGATCATTATGTAATCTATCGATTACTTTTTTACTCGAATGCCAACTATCATATTGAAATTAAAAATTACAAGCAAAGACCGACAAAGAACTAGACATTATGGTATCTAAGAGAATATTAAAATTACATTATAAAAAAGATATAATTTAAAATGTTTACGTAAGCAAAGGGGGAGGGGGTAAGACCTTTGCTTACTCTTGCTGACAAGGGGGATGGGGGGGGGGTAAAATAATTGTAAAAAAATCTGCTTACGTAATATTTAAGTGGCCCCTTAAAGTCGATGTATAACGTAAGTTCTATGTAGTTTCTATGTGTGAAAATCTATCTTCGAAGTTAAAAACTGCTAGGCTATAAATTGTGTACTGGTTATTCTATTCCCAAAATTCAGGTGAACTCGACTGCATTCTCGTTCGTCATTGGTCGAGATTATGTTCACAACCGTGGACTGCGTGGAGTTCACTCGGATCTTTCGGAGCAGCCTAGCCAGGCTTAACTGATCTTTTTTTTTATGGCATAAGCCGGTAAACGAGAAGACGGATCACCTGATGGTAAGCAATCGGCTTCACCCATGGACACCTGGAACACCAGAGGCGTTACAAGTGCGTCACCGGCCTTTTGAGATTAGGAATTTGAGGTTGCGGATTCAGGGATTGGTGAAAGAGGAGAGGGGGGGTAATTGGGCATCCTTCAATCTTCTTTCTTAAAAATCTTAATCATTCACTCCTTCACTCATTTTGGTTTATAGACATATTCAAATAACATGACGAAAATAAACTCACCGGTGAATGGGTTAACCCCCGGTGTGCTGGTAGCAGTAGGAGGCATGCTGGTGCCTAGTGTTGCCAGTGCAGACTCTGAGGACTCGCCACTACCGCCCGACTTGGCAGCCGCGGCTGCTTTCTCTTCCCTGGAGACAATAAATAATTGTGATGAATAACAGAAACATAAATAGTCTCGATGGAGTCGCTCGTTCATCTCTAAGAAGTAATGAAATCTAGACAAAGTCGTGCCAAGTCTAAGGTTCCTTACTGCGATTTCTTTATTAATATAGTTAATGTGTGACTTGGCCGTTGAACCGTTCTACCGACCGAGTGCTAACCTATCAGTGGGTGTGTAAGCTGTAAGTACGTATGAATGACCAATAATAGTTATTTTTTCCTTTTTACTTTTCGTTTGTCATTAGTTTTAGAAGTCGGTTTTTTTAAATGCAGCTTTTGTAATTTTTATTTATACTTTTTAGTTTAGTACTTTGATATACATATATTATATTATACAGAACCCACATGGATGCAAAGTTTTCAATTTTTTTTATACCACGACGGTGGCAAATTAGCACACAGCCCACCTGATGGTAAGCGGTTACCATGGCCTATGTACGCCTGCAACACTTGGGGCATTACATGCGTCTTGCCGACCCTAAAAAAACCTATTCACCGCCCTCTTGAAGAACCTCATGTTGTAGCACCACTGGGAAAACCACGGCAGGGAGCTCATTCCACAATCGGAGGGTCCGTGGGAGAAAATTCCTCTGAAACCGAACTGTACGGGACCATTTTGGCTCCAATGAGTGAGCGTGAACCCCCTGTCGATGGCGAGCGGTGCGATGATAAAAAGTGGCCGTGGGCATCATATCAAATAATTCCGCAGATACAAGCGGTAGAACACGCACAAGGAGGCAAAATCTCTCCTTAGACTTAAGTGCTCGATACCACTCGTAAGTATAGGATCGTCAACAAGTCTTACAGCTCTCCTTTGGACCGCGTCAAAACGTCCAAGCTGGCGCTTCTGCCCAGAGATGAGAGCAGTACTCCATATATCAATACAAATTATCCAAGTTCAAACACCAAGTGGCTACTCTTAACCATTGAGGAGTCCCTTAGCTATCATACTACTTCATCATTGGACCTTTAATGACCATCACCCCCCTTCCCATCTAGGTGTAAAGTCCTCATCAATATAAATTATCAAACCCAAATACAAGGTAGCTACTGGTAACCGCCGAGAAGTTCCCTCATCATCAGACCCTTACTGACAATTACACCCCACCCAGGTGTAAAATCCTCATCAATACAAATTAATCAAATCCAAACATAAGGTAGCTACTGTTAACCGTTGAGGAGTTCCCTCGACTGGCTCTCGGCTCCATCATCAGATCAACTTCAGACCTTTATCAAATTGTAGTGGTCTTCAATACTTAATGAAAAAATTAACAAATGCTCTAGTCGCCCCTATAATTTTCAAACGTTCCCCTCGGTTTCCCTGGTCTTCCATCATCAGAAAGCATATATACGGTCGATTTTTTTTAAAAACGTTGCCCCACACTTGGATTTTCTCCTGTGTCGTGGGTGCGTTACGTTGCACGGCAGCCGGTTGCCCAGCCACCGCACCAACCGTGCAGTTATTGAGAACCTCCTCCTTTTTTTGAAGTCGGTTAAAAACTAAAAACGGTTGAAAGGATCAGGATGAAATTTGGAACACGGGGTAGATTACGCTTTGGAACAACACATAGCCTATTTATCCCGTAGAAGGGCAGGCGAAGCCGCTGGCAGAAGCTAGTTAACTACTACACTTAGTTAAACACATATTTCCCAACAGAACAAGAAACAATTACATAGAACTGTAATGAAAATAACTCGTCACAAAGGAAGCTGTACAAGTGTAACTGAAGACTTAAAAAATCTAACTTTTGCTTTCAAACTTCTGCGGAGGGAGGCCTCATTGTAAAGAGTTTCATGGCATTTCAAATTAAATTGTGATTTACATAACGCATTTTTATTAAGAGGGGAAACTCATCGAATGACTGCTCCCGGCTGGGTGAGGCGGGAGGGAGTGTCAGACTCTTACTGACTAAAAACCACCCCGTTCCTTCTCATGCACGTCGAGCCGGAGCCCCGGTTACCCGTTAGGTTCTCCGCAACTTACATAATTATATAATAAAAAATAAATAAAGGAATATCGTGCCTTTTAATCAACGAAGGGATGGGCAGAAGTGGCAGTGAAGGCCACCATGTGACTCTATTAGAAGTAACACTTAGTTTAATTATTGTTTTCGGCTTATAAACGTAATTGTTTGACGGGCAACATATATTCATATTACTAGCTACTTGCGCGCGGTTTCACCCGCTCTGCTCGGCTCCTATTGTTCGTAGCGAGATGTTTTATAGCCTATAGCCATCCTCGATAAATGGGCTAACCAACACAAAAAGAATTATTCAATTCGAATCCATTCAATCGAACGGAGATTAGCGCGTTCAAACAAACAAACAAACTCTTCAGCTTTATAATATTAGTATAGATAACTTTCGTGGGTCATATTAAATTAATTATTATGATTTCGCCGTACTCACGTAAATGAGAAGGAACTCGACTGGTTTCAATCCATGCGCTAGAGGCTGATATTCATGAACAGTATTCCGCGACCCGCGAGCTGCTAGGAGTTATAGCAGCGTGCGTGACAGTCACCGCGTTGAGCCTCTATCATGGTTTGAAACTAGTCATATTCCTCGCCAGAGGTTGACATTATCAAATTAATGTATTTCCTCTCAACACATCAATTTACATTTCCACCATATAATCAAAACAAACCATGTCTTCCATGATAATATTATTATAATAAAATTGAATGGTCTTCTCGAGTTTATTATCGAATTCATCATACATTTGCAAGCTCCGATTAAAACAATAGCCAAGTACTCACGTTTCACTGAATATTCTACATGTACGTATGACATGCCCTTTAATCACTGAAAGGGTAGGCAGAGGTGCAGGTATTTACTGTAACAACCTGGTTTTTGCCTGTTCATTTCCATGAAATATAGGGTGAACTTATTGCCTCTAGGATTATTTTATTGAATAGAAGGCAAACGAGCAAACGGATGAGCTGATGATAAGCGATCAACGCCGCCTATAGATACCCGCAAGCCCGCAACACCAGAGGAGTCACGGGTTGCCGGCCTTTTTATAAAGGAACTAGCGACCCGCCCCGGCTTCGCACGGGTGCAATATGCATGTATTATACGTACAAACCTTCCTTAAGAATCACTCTATCTATTTAAAAAAACCGCATCAAAATCCGTTGCGTAGTTTTAAAGATCTAAGCATACATACGGACATACACCGAAAGCGACTTTGTTTTATACTATGTATTGATACGCGCTTTTCTTGAAGGTTTGAAGGAAATACCGCCAAAGACAGATCAATGCTTTTATTAAAAAAAAAAACACTGAATTTAAACACCATGTCTCATCAGAATCAGCCTGTAAAAATCCCAGTGCAAAAAAGGTGGCTATGCTTGCTCAAGATGGATTGGCTATTCCAAACTCATAACATAACATAACGCCTTTTATCCCCGAAGGGATAGGTAAAGGTAAACAATGTATGCCAATGTTGGTGCGGTTTGACTGCACGGTTGGTGCGGTGGCTGGGCAACCGGCTGCCGTGCAACGTGTCGCGGGTTCGATTCCCGCACGGAACAACACTTTGTGTGATGCAACGTTTTTTTAAAAAGAAAAAAAAAAAAAAAAAAAATGTACAATGTAACACCCACTTTTCACTATTTATGTTATGAGTCCCACGTAGTGGGAGCTGAGCCTATTGCCATATACCACATAAATATAGAAATTTAAAGCCCAGGTTTCCTCACAATGTTTTCCTTTAAAATAAGGTCTGTGTCGGTGATGGCTAAATTGACTTCGGTAGCACATCTAACTTAGAAAATGTCACATTACATCCTTTATTATCCTGTCATAGTTTGTAAGGTTTTCGTATTCTTAATGTTTCTATCTTCCTATTTTTTTTTCCTATTTATAATTATTTGAAATGTATAACGCCTTGGTTTTATGACTGTAATGTTATACTATTTAATTGAAATAAATAAATTACTACATATCATGAAATACCATGAAATACTGTATTTGTTAAAGAATACTTATTCATGGTTGTATTAACAAATATGGGGCAATATTTAATCAAAAATAATAAGATTGAGTAATCAAATAAGTACATGTAATTCTTTTTCAATCTCTTTGACTGGATTTAGGTATTGCATTGTTCTCACACAATCGAACCAATAAAACTTGAAAAAGAGTAACCTATGGAGTTTCTTGCTCGTTCTTCTCCATAGGAATCTACACCTTGGAATGAGCAACTAGCTTCACTTCTAAATTTTTGTTGTTGTGATATCCTGGTCTAATTGGAATAAATGATTTTGACTTTGACTTTAATTACACATAGAGATTATTTAGACACCACTGACAAACGGTGAAGGAAAACATCTTGAGGAAACCTGGGCTTCTAATTTCTAGTTTAAAATTGCCAACCGGTATTGGAGAGTTGTGCTGGTCCAGAGGTCTAAGACCCCTGATTCTCATGAATAAGGATGCAGATTCGAAACATACCAACAGCAAGTACCAATTTGACGTTTACCGAGTTATATGTGCTTTCTAAGATTATTCAGACACCACTGACAGATTGTGAAGGAAAACTGAGGAAACCGAAGCTTATAATTTCTAATTATAAGTTTGAAATTGCCAACCTGTTTTGAGCAAGTGTGGTGATTAATGAATGAATGATCAAACCTTTTCTGTGCGAGCAGAGGCCTTGGCTCAGCAGTGGGCACTTAAAGGCTGATGATGACGATGAATTTTAACCAAAATAATTTATGATGTTCTGTCTGTAAGTGCAGCTCTAATGAAAATATAACGTCACGCCTTTTATCTCCGAAGGGGTAGGCAGAGGTGCACCTTATGCCACTGTACAATGTAACACCCACTTTTCATTATTTATGTTATGAGTCCCATATAGCTAATAGGGGGTGAGAATAATGAAAATATTGAAATTTCAATTGAAACCTGTTGATCAATATATCTATTAGCCTGTTTGGTGTGAACGAAAACACTGACACACATTTATATTGATATAATTTACAAATGTAAAACACAAAACTTACTGATTTATGGTAATTTAGCCGCTATTGATATTATTTTTCACACTTATTTTTAATATTTATGATGTTACTGGCCTTCTTCGTACAAAGTCGTCAGGCAATGGAATTTCTTGAAATTAGGAGTTTCGGGCATGCGCGTTACAATCTACGCCGATATGTATAGATCTACATCAAAACTCCTGAATTATTTAGTACGTACGTAGCCCACGCATTTTTTTATCGCGATTTATGGCTTTACAGTGTTTAACTGTTAAAAACAAGAGAATAGCGAGGGAACAAGATAAACACATGTATACGGACCGGTATAGTCTACAAAATATGTACAATTTACGAAAACTTTAAGGAGTCTACACTACAAGTGATTTTTGGGCTTTATGTATATTTTATGGATAATTTAAATACGATTGTCTTTATACTGATCAATAAGGGGTTTCATTTAATTAAATAATTCATCAGAATGAGACAAACAAAGGCATGTAAACGTAAATTAAAGCATGGCACAACAAATGTGTAAAAACGTGCTACTAACCTTTTCTTTTTGATAAAGGGATCCATCACTTCGATACGACGTTTAGACATTTCTAATTACAACACATAAAACACGAAAATAAATAAAATTAACAGAAAATTCTTCCAATTTTCCAATAATTTTCAACATCCAACAAGATGGCGACTTCGCAGCTATGAAACAAAAAAAGTTGGATTATTTGTTTATGGTAGTAATTTACTGGGTTGCAACCTGCAAGTATTTCTTTTTTTATTTTGTCTTTTCAATATTCGTTTATTTATTTATAAACGTCCCCGTTTATAAGTTTCAAATTCTATTAATTTACTTCAGAATTTTTATTTACTAGAACTATTAGATAACACGCGTTATTGAAAACTGTATTTTGTTTAGGCATAATATTCATTTCCTTGGCATACCTTGACATTTCATTTAAAAAACCAAAACCGGTTCGGTTCACGCAAAGAATGAACATCTTATTCATACTTAATCGGTTAATCTTTTAATAAAATCATATTTAGCAAGCATTATAAGAGCTTCTCTTAAATCATATCAAGTTTTCACAATTTTCTGAGTAAAATGTTAAGCGGTTTAAGTTTTACATTTTCATTTTATTTTCCTGAAGTTTAACGACACGTTTGATACAAATCGTGCGAAACGAAATGGAATCAAACAAAAATGTCAGAATGTCAGACATAATGCACGAACTGCGTATTTTGTTGTGCTAATTTCAGTCTATAATTAAAAATTATGTTTGTAAATGTGTAAATAATTTTCAAATCTCTTTTTGTTTTATTTATTGAACAAATTCTGTGATTTTGATCGAACATTTTAGTGTGGATGTGAAGTGTAAATATAATGTACGAACGAGCATCGATTCTTTGTGATTTGTTATAGAAATATTTCACAAAAGATTACAAACATCGAACATAACCCACCAAACAAACATAGACGTGAGTATTTTGTGCTTTCATGAAAGAAAATCACACGTTTAATTTTGTATTGTTGTCAAAATTCAAGATGGCGGAGGGATTACCTTTTATTTATATTATTTTGTTTATTTCTCCGTCTACCAGTCATAGGATTCGATGTACACGTTTTGTTGGTCCTTTAAATAGGTGCAATAAGTCTTGGAGATTAATTTTAACCGACTTTGAAAAGAGGTCGTATAAGGTTATTGAACTTGTTGAAACCTGTCCAAGTTTGCGACAAGTTTAGAAAAAAATATCTGAAAAACGTTTCCGATCACTTTTTGTGGACTAAAAAAATGTTAATTAGCATTCAGAATAGTTGTAAGTAATTAATCTAATTAGCTTTTAATTGATTAATAGGTATCGAAAATGTAATTAAAAATGTCTATAGGTAGATGATTAATAATATTCTTGAAATTACGCGTTCTAAGTATGTACTTACTGAGTCAACTTGCACTTAGACATAAGAGTTTGTTTCCTATATTGTCTAGGTATTGTCATTTTAAAGTACCTAAGAAATATCATTTTCTTGAGTCATCCTCCTGTAAAATAGAAATTAATTTTGGGTTCATCCATAAAGTATACAATTTTTCCTGTATGTTTACTTTCAAACTTGTAAGATTTTAATTGACTTGAAAGTTATTATGTTTTCGGCTTACTCACGTAATTATTTGACGAGGAACTCGACTAGTTTCAAGCCATGCTAGAGGCTCATATTCATGTGCAGCATTTCGCGACCCGCGACCCGGCGACTGTCGCGCTTATACTGTACAACCAAAAGAATTAATTATATATATATGACTTGAAGGTTTTTAGTTTGAACTCTATGTATGTTTGTCTGCGATTATCTCGGTTATCAGAGAAGTCCGTGTTACACTTAGGGACAGGTTCTATTTCCATACATCATCTGCAATCAGTAGCAGGACAATAAGCAAATTGGCAACTTTAACCCTGGAACCCTACCTGGGGTGCTGGTGAACCCCAAGGAACTTTATTTTGGATTTTTCTTTAATTAATTATTATCACAGAATTGTGTGTTTCAGCGTATTTTTTCTTAGTGGTAGGGTTCCAGGGACTGGTAGGTCGAGAGCGGGTGCTCTCGACCTACCAGTCGCGCAGAGTTCTAAACTGCATGTAGACGTGTATACTTGTGTTGTGGGGTGCCTGGTCACCCCAGTGTAGGGAAATATCTAAAAAAATTAACACATACATATCAACTTGCCCCTCTGCCTACCCCTTCAGATAATGAAACAACTTACCTGATTTATGAGATAATAATTGCGTAATAAAAAAATTTTTCCACATAACCCTTTTTAATTGTGTTATTAATAACACTAAATCTACCAAGATAATGATGCTATTTGTGGCTATCACGATAATTGATTAAAATATTAAAAACTAGCTTTTACCCACGGCTTCGCTCGCATCAAAAAAGGATAAGAAGTAGCCTATGTGACATATACCAATACACACAGCATCATCTATACCAATAATTTTGTTTCTCTCGAGATATCAAATTTTCCGGAATAAAAAGTACCCTATTATTTAATCCAGACTTCTAACTTTACGTCTGCAAAAATTCAAAGCAATCGGTTTAGTAGTTACGGTGTGAAAGCGGAACAAACAAACAAACAAACTCACTTTCCGATTTATAATATAAGTAAGGATAAATAAAGTACAATATGTTTAGAGGAGGCCATACATGCTAGGTTATGCATGATGGTTATAAGTTTGCATGTAAAACCGACAAACATAACCGAGTTTCATACCACACATACACATTAGGTTTTGCATGTACACACACCGATAACTGTACAGTTTAGTCACATACACGCTATGCCTGTCGGTTTTTCATGTATGGCCTCCTTTATTGATAGTAGAAGGTTCATAGTTACTGCCTATCCCTTATTAGATAAAAGGCGTGGTCATATAGGAGTACATTTAGCAACATACAGGAGTATGGTGTAAACCAAAGCTCTCTATTGTGTTTATGTGTTAGTGATAATCTCAAAAACTGCTGAACAGATTTTAATTTGCCAATGGATTGTGATTCTTGAGTAAGGTTGTGTATAATTTGTGTAGTGATAATTTCACTTAGTACAATGTAGTGGGTAAACTGCTTTATGTATAGTATGATTACAAATCCCTAAAGTATAAATGAGGATTGTGGCGCTCTGTAGTTTCTGTATACCGTGAAATAAAAGTGTTTATGGATGTACTGATGTAATGTACGAATTAAGGATATATTTTTGACTATCCCTATTTGACTAAAAGACTACATATTTGACAGTTATTAGCAGCATTTTTGGATAAATACAAAACTTAACAATACAATATAAAAAAAAATTAACAATACAAAATCTTATAGTCTAACATGGCTCATGCTCACATACACATACTGACAATCCATAAAAATAGGGCTTCTATACAACAAAAAGGAACTCTTTGTTTCAATAAAGAAAGAAATGCTCAATGGCATAAGAAAAGTAGACTGTCTACATTAGAATGAAAGTATTAAATACCTACTACCTGAATCTAACTACTGACTACATTTGAGTATTGTCCAGTGGAGCCGAACCAACATGCTGCCAAGCATTCTTATCTTCAAGATAATCTGTCTACCCCTTGAGGATACCCCCCTGAGCATGGTCCCTGTGTGCCCTTACGCTACTGCCTGTATAACAGGATGCCCTAGACCCTTGTGTAGTTTGCAAAGGATAATAACGGCTCTGATCTCGCCTCTTGATGTTTACATGTACTTAATCTGTCTAAACCATATGTGACATATTTACTCAGTTAATTCTGGTGCGCTGACAACAAATTGTGACAATTAAAATCAATTAGAATGTCTCGTATTAATTTTAATGGCTGATTCAGAGCAGCTAAGAATAAACTTGCATGGGAGCTGATGAATTTAATGTATGAATTGTATGTATACATTATTATGTCCTTTACTCCGCAAAGGGGTAGGATAGAAGCATATAAATTTATACTTAAGTCCTAGGCAACATTATATTAGGCATATTGCTATATAAAATTGAAAGTTGCTAAAAGTACCGGAGGCCCAATTACCCTCCTCTTCCCCAATCTCCCCAATTCCTGAATCCCCAATGATCCTCAAACTCCTAATCCCTAAAAGGCCGGTAACGCACTTGTAACGCCTCTCGTGTTCCAGTTGTCCATGGGCGACGCCGATTGCTTACCATCAGGTGATCCGTCTGCTCGTTTACCTTTACTGGCTTATGCCATTAAAAAAGAAGTTAAAATGGGTCCAATGATACTTTACCTAACTTAGAATCATATCCGAGACCCTCGGCTCGACAGTCAAACTTATGAACCAAAACGAAGGAGATTCGACATATTGCTCTGTTAATAAAAAAAAAATTGAATACACGTTCGTGATTTGATCACCTATTCATAAATAGGTACCTACTTCTTAGAACTAAAAGGTAGTGTATTTCATCATAAAATACGCCATAATTTTCAACTGTATTTTACCTAAAGATAAAGTTGAAAATCAAAAAATTATCACAGATGTTGCTACCTATTTCGCTAAATGCACCTATTGTATAGTGCAAATTCCGCAACTGCCACACCTATGACCTCCATTTCTTATCGACATATCTATACAAATAATAAGAATGTAGTTCCATATGTTTATCTAACATCTGTTTGTGTGTTTGTACATACATGTAACATCGATCGCCTCTGATAGTTCACTGTTGGTCTCCTTTATACATATGTATAAGCCGTTTGGTAGCCCTTTTATTTTATTTTTTGATGAGTAAAATCATCCAATGACTTCTCCAACCGTGGGTAAAGCGAGAGGGACTGTGAACACCACCCCGTCCGTCCTCCTGCTCCGAGCCGGAGCCCCGGCAACCCGTTAGATCCGGCTCGAAGGACCAAAATTTACAGCGGGATAATAGCTTTACGCTAAAAGCCTACTGTACAGGAGTACCTAATCCTAATGACTACTAGCTAACGTTATCCTACACTATCCTAGATAATCTAACACCTATAATATCCTATCCTAGCTTTGCCTAGCGTATAAAGCGTATAGGCTTGGTGCTCTGTAGTATACTGTGATACAGACCAGCACTTCTACGCACCTACTACTAGGTCCTCAACCTAAGGCACGTACTATCGTAGTACAACGTGATACAGACCTACGCTTCGTACGCACCTATCGGATCGTAGCTCGACCTTTAAAAACATAACATTATGCCTTTTGTACTCGAACTGGCATGCCAATGTACAATGTAACACCCACTTTTCAATGAGTTTTATGTAATAGGGGGTGAGCCTATTGCCATATACCGGGCACAATTTCAGGCTCCGTGCTACCACTGAGAATAAATTCAACAATTTTAAAAGTTCAGGTTTATCAGTCTGTCAAATGTCATGTCATGTAGTCGTCTTTTACGACACCCGCGGTAAGAGTAGGGGTGAATACACTTTTTTTTAAAGGGGGAAAAAATCATCCATTGACTTCTCCCTCTGGGTGAGGCGGGAGGGAGTGTCAGATTCTTACTGATTAAAAATCACCCCGTTCCTACTCTTGCACTTCGAGCTGGAGCCCCGGCAACCCATTAGGTTCTCCGCGGCTTCGTATCGTATCGGCATCAGCCCTATTGGGCCCCATCCGTGGTGATCTGATGGCTTTTTTTATATTATCGATGCATTCTTTTCACATATGTAGAGAAGTAATAATCACAAATGGAGATTCCTAGCTACTTGAAACAGCGTCAAGGCAAAGCCAGGGTGGATCGCTAGTATGTGATTCATTCATTCATTCACATTCAATGTATGACATTGTATCGCACAACATATTAACATTTCAAAAATATGGATGCAGGATGTCAATTTGTAAGTTAATGTTTGATTCTTGTTTTTGAACATTATGCAGCGGAGACTGCATATATTGAAGAGTGAATTGTATTGTCTGTTTGTCTTCTAAATAGATATATAGGTACTGTAAATTGGCATCTTTACAAACTAGTTTTGCCAGCGCTCCCATAGGATAAAAAGTAGCCTATGTGTTATTATTACAGACCATAGTCTGCCCCTGTTCCGAATTTCATCCCGATCCCTTCAGCCGTTTTGACGTGAAGGAGTACCAAACAAACACATATATATACCTAGTCTAGAATTTATAACACTAGGTGGATAGCAATCAAATCACTTGTATGTTCATTTTCGATATTTGCATTGCAATGCCTACCTAAAAAACCAATATAATTACTCGAGGCCCTAATTTACCTCGCCAAAGGCCGGTAACCCAGTTGTAGGTACTCTGTTAATTAATACCTACTCGGATTAGTTTTACTGGTATTTATTAATGTAAATTATGTGACTTGTACACACAGCACAGTAGACAGCGTCATTCTTGACAAGTGTCCTACCTTGTCTAATACACTAGCTACTTCCGCGCGGTTTCACTCGCTCTGCTCGGCGCCTATTAATCATAGCGTGATATTTTATAGCCTATAGCCTTCTTCGATAAATTCACTATCCAACACAAAAATAATTTTTCAAATCGGACCCGTAGTTTCGGAGATTAGCGCGTTCAAACAAACAACCAAAAAACAAACTCTTCAGCTTTATAATATAAAGTATAGATTATAGTGAGGGGGTCACTACTTACTAAACTAATCACTAGTTTAGTAAGTAGCATACATGTAACATACTCCTCCAGTGTTCCCGGTGTCCATGAGCGGCGCCGATTGCTTACCATCAGGTGATCCGTCTGCTCGATTGCCATCCTATTCCATAGAAATGGTTAAGGTTGTATGTATGATCACATACAATTATAGTGACCCAGCACGTCAACCCGCTCCGATGTGGCAATTTTAGTCATTAGATTTTCGACTTTATATCTAAACAATGTAGGTATAGAGTAGAAATACTAATAAAAAAATAATATAAAAAGGCTAGGTTGACCTGCTACTAGAGGATTCAATCCCGGCTCATTTTTCCAGTCCCGGGATTTCGGGATTATCTAAAGTCAATCCCGGGATCCCGGGACAGTCCCGGGATAGAAAGAAGTTACAGAAAGACAGTAATTTATATATCACAATCAACTATTAACCATCAGTTCAATCTACAAAAAACGAAACAAAAATAATATTTTCATCTAATAAAATAATAAACAAACAAACAAGGAACTTCTTTACTTAGTGTAATAAATTGTTTATTTTGATTCACATAAAATCTTTAAAAAATCAACTTCTAAACACTTGTTTAGATAAAAATCTAAAATGACTTAATTCTAAAGAGATCAGTAATACAAGGTAATTTATAAATTATTTCTTTCAACTTCGAAAATAATATCGAAGAAATAGTAAAGCATCCAACGACTCATCAGAAAGCTTGCTTCTTAATTTGTTGCACAAATATGAAGAGGCAGAAAAAGCGCGCTCAGGCTCAATGGAAGTTGGAGGAATCGTCAATATTTTTTTATAAGTCTTCTCCAAATTATAACCTTGTGTGGAACTAGCTTCATAAAGATTCATTTCTTGTTTAATGATCTCAAAAAGATCCGTTAGCAATTACAAATGAAATCAGATGTGTAAACAAGATGGCCGTTAAAACTTCTAACGTGCGTTTCGCTTCGTTTCATGCATATTTTTATTCTACATCACAAAAATGAATCTCAAAATGCATTGGTAAGAGCATAAATTCCAATCCCGAAAATCCCGGGATACTTAAAAAATAATCCCGAAAATTACGGGACCGAAATTTGATCGGGATCCCGGGATCCCGGGCTTCGGGATCCCGGGATCGAATCCTCTA